TATATATATATATATATATATATATATATATATATATATATATATATATATATATATATATATATATATATATATATATATATATATATATATATATATATATATATATATATATATATATATATATATATATATATATATATATATATATATATATATATATATATATATATATATAATAAAAATAAAAATAAATTATAATAATATAAATAAATAAATAAATAAATAAGTAAATAAATAAATAAATAGATAAATAAATAAATAAGTAAATGAATAAATAAATAGATAGATAGATAAATAAATAAATAACATTTTTTAATTTTTTTATTTGTTTATTAGAATTAAATGCAATTTATTCCTGCAATGAAATACAGAATACACTACGGCCAGTTTAGTTTATTCAATTCACCTATAGCATATGTGTTTGGACTGAGGGAAACTGGAGTACGTAGAAGAAACATACACCAACATGAGGAGAACTTGCAAACTCCACACATAAATGCCAACTGAACCAGCTTGGACACGAAACAGCGACCTTCTTGCTGTGAGATGACAGCGCTAACCAGTGAGCCACCTTGCAGCCCTTTTTATAAATTGATATAATTAATTTTTCAGGATTGATTTGATGAACTATTCTTTACTTGGCACATTCAACAGCCTTGCCAATAGGGCTGATTTAAGTCTTTTTGTGTGTTGATTGTACAGTAAAAATGAAGCGTATTTTCCTTGATTTGCATTAATTCACCTCATGTATCAGCAGACTCTAATAACTGCTGACTGCTCAGGTTTAGCTGATTGTAATGCGTAAAGAAGCTCAGCTTGACACTGTGCTTTCATATTGCAAACAAACAGAATATCTTTACCCTGTTAATATGCATACTTTAAACAGACCACAAAGCACGGCTCTAATGCCAATGCTGCATAAGTTAAGATTATTTCATACCATAAAAAAAACTTTCACTTTCATGTCATGACTTCCGCTAAAAAGTTTCATATTAGCATTTAATTATTAAAATAAATATTAAAAATAACTGAACATTTGAGTCATTTAGATTGGATTATTTTGTTGTTTTTAACGTATGAGAAGATGAGTCCCCTCTCTATATGTACCAGACAACTAAAAAAATAAATAAATAAATAATAATAATAATAATAAAAATGATAATAATAATTTAAAAGAACTGCTAAACTAACTTATATATTGCTGCTCTCTAGTGCCTTGTGTTGAATGAATGCATAAATAAACCCACATGAACAAATAACATAGTAAATACTTTTTGAACTTTTTGAACATTTTGAACCATACTGTAGTAAAGTGTAGTATACTGTATATACTATATATAATACATTAAGTTAATGAATGCCCCAGCATACTATAGTATTAACTGAGTGAACTTTACTGAACTGATCAGCTGTAATAAGTCCTGTAGGATACTTTAGTTAACTACAGTAAACTGTGTTGATTGTAGTATAATGTACAAAACTACAGTATTGGGTCATTTGTTTATATTACTATGGTTATTATGTTACCATAGCAACTATACAATCAGCACAATAGATTAATTGTAGGGATTGCTATTGTTGTTGTGTTACCATAGCAACTATAGAATCACTACAACGTGTTAATTAATGTAATTACTATGGTTGTTGTGTTACCATGGCAACTATAGAGTCACCACAAAAGATTAACTCAAGTAATTACAATGGTTGTTGTGTTACCATAGCAACTAAAGAATCACCACAGGATGTTAATTAATGTAATTGCTATAGCTGTTGTGTTACCATTGCAACGATAGAGTCACCACAACAGATTAAATCAAGTGATTATTATAGTTGTTTTCTTACGATAGCAACAATCGAATCACCACAACAGATTATATCAAGTAATTACAATGGTTTTTGGGTTACCTTGGCAACTATAGATTCACCACATGTCAATTAATGTAAGTACTTTAGTTGTTGTTACCATAGCAACTATAGAGTTACCACAACAGACTCAATTAAGCAATTACTATTGTTGTTTTGTTACCATAGCAACAATAGAATCGCCACAACAAATTTATTCAAGCAATTACGGTAGTTGTTTTGTTACTATGTCAACGATAGAATCACCACAACATGTCAATTATTGCAAATACTATAGTTGTTGTGTTACCATAGCAACTATATAATCACCACAACATGTCAATTACTGTTATTACTATAGTTGTTTTGCTACCATAGCAACTATAAAATCACCACAACAGATTCATTTAAGCATTTACTATAGTTGTTGTGTTACCATGGCAATGACAGAATCACCACAACATGTCAGTTAATGTAATTTTTTATAGTTGTTGTCACCATAGCAACTATAGAATCACCACAACAGATTAAATCAAGTAATTACTATAGTTGTTGTGTTACCATAGCAATGATAGAATCAAATAATAAATAAATAAATAAATAAATAAATAAATAAATAAATAAATAAATAAATAAATAAATAAATAAATAAATAAAGCAAGCTTCAGACTAAATGGGAAGGGACTTTACAGAAATGTGGTTCCTGCTGAGTGTAAATTTGTGATCCTGGTAGTTCTGGTTTAGCCATGTTCAGCTGTTCAGTCCATCTCTGAATTTGAAAGCATCTGCTGATTTGTGTTTCTGTTTTAAGATAATGGATATTGATTCATTTAATAAATGATAGTCTTCCAGCAATGAGTGTTCAGCATTGAGCAGCTGAATCAGGGAAACTGACATCGACGATTAGATATAGACTTATTTATACACTTGTAGACGGAAATCAGCCAGCACAGAGTGTGATAACGCGTTTTAACTGAATGCTTTTGCATATTTATCTGCATTTTTTTCACTTTTTTTTATGAAATAAAAAAACAAAACAAAACAGAAAGCCAGTAGGAGGTTTTCTTAATGGGATAGTTTAGTCAAAAAATAAAATTCTGGCATAATTTACTCATCTTTTGCTTGATTTAAAAGATATACTGTCCTGAAGAATGCTGGAAACCGGTAACCATTGACTTCTATTTGTTTTGCATACCATAGAAGTCAATGGCTACAGGTTTTCAACACTTTACTTGAAGGAGTGTTCATAAGTCTTTCA